CAGGGCCACATAAACATCCGACTCTGTCACTAGACCTGGTTAAGTGACAGCTTGAAAAATAGATTTAATAAGACAGAGAGAAAAGTTTCCCACTCTTACACCAGAAATAGGAACAGCAGATCACAATATTAGCCAGGAACAGGAACAGTCGGTAAGCAGCCCTGTCCCTCCCATCTCGGCATGGGGGGAGGAGGAATAAATTGCAGCCTGTGGCCATCTGGGTGTTCAACCCCGCCGCGATTCCCAGGGGCTCGCCGGGACGCCCGCGCCGCGGCTCCGTGGTCTCCTGCTGGGAACAGAACAGAGTCCTCCGGGAATAACGCCGCCCAGATCCTCAAGGCAAAACCTCCGCCGGCGAATTCCCTTGCACTCGGGCAACCCCACCTCACACCCACCACGCGGAGGCTGCAGATGGGTCTGCAGGAATCGGCGCGTCAGCTCCGGGCCGCGGTTCAGCCCAGACACATCCCCATCTCACCCCACGTTCAAATGAAGCTTCGGACCCGCACCAGTAAAGTTTGACCTCCGTTATTTCAACTTCCTCTCATTTTCTTCCATGACTGCGGCGCTGCTCACTAGTACAGTGCAACCAACGCGAAAACTTCGCCTGTTCCTCAGGAACGTGCACTCGCAAAAGAGAAACGTCTCAATCTTGTACAGCAAAAGCCAGAACCCCAGCTGTGCACTCTAACATTTAATTTTATGTCAATGCACATCTAAAATTCAAGATCCCTGAAGACCTTTTAAAAGAAAATCCTCCTTGGAACAATTTGCACTGAACGAAAGAGGGAGGATTTAACAAGTAATGGAGAATTACGTACACTCGGCTCTCAACTTTTTATTCCACTTCTAATCAAAACACACTTCATCTTAAATTCTGAGATAATAGATGCAATATAAAATTTGGGGGCAGGCATTGGTACGATCTAAATTATTTGCTTATTCCATGTTTACAGATAATGGAAAAAAAACTAGGAGTTCAATTCAACCTTCAGCAATTGTCTTCTCTCCATACCAAAATTAACAAGGAAGTTTACCGTAAGAGGAAAAAAATAGCTCTTACTTTTGAAATATGCTTCTAATTCTAGCCATACAGTTGGCCTGCAAAGAGTGCAGAAGCAAGGCTCTTTGGAACAATCCCCAAGGAAACATTTGCTTTGGCTCCAAATTGGACACTTTTGTGCATCAGGAGTCAAAGAAGATCAGCTGCTTCTCAATCCTTTCTGTTTCATGATCCCACTGATAGCCAAGAGGTTAACAGACGCATTTCTGTCCTTTCTGCGTGTCTTCCTTGCTGGGAATCCAGGTTGCTGCTCCAAGAGGTATCCCAACAGCCATGGAGGTGACGATGTGGAGTCAGAATCTCCCCCAACAGTTACATCATTTTCCCACACCACACCTGGATTTATACTCTACAGAGACATGGCTGTCCATTACAATTCACGCGATCTTTGCAGCTTTTCTGCAGCTCAGCGTAGCTCCTCACTGGTATCTCATCTGACCAACAGCTCAGGACAGACGAAGGGCCACCAAACTGTTTTCTGCATATCTGGGGCTACTTAACACAATAATAAGGCAGAACAGAACAAATAGGATGAGAAAGCCTGTAAAAGAGCATCATCTTTTTCAAAGCCTCTGTTAGAACTGAGATAATAAATCACTATATTAAATCAGGCTACCACTGGGGAAAAAAAAAAAAAAAAAACAAAAAACCAACATCCTTGGGGGTATCTCTGACAGAACCATCATCAAGAACTACTGCTCTAGGAGAACGCACCCTTGCTCAGAAAGGGTCGGAAACAGCAAAGCTGTCAACATCACAAATCTGTTGAAAAGCAGCTTTGGTCTCATTCTAAGCCAGAAGAAAAGATGGCCTTAATTTCAAAGAGGGATAAAATAACAAGTTGACCTGGATGGTTCTTTCTAGTCCCAGCACCACAGCTGCAACTTTCAAAGGGAAAGTCATTTCTGGAGCTAAGCAAGGACCAAGGGTGCTGAACAAGGCCAGCTGGCTCGTGGTGGCACGCACAGGTCACCAAGGCACTTAGAAAGGCGATCAGAGAGGGCCGTGGAGGAAAGCCCTTGGTACACCAAAGCTCAAGGAGGAGATTTAGGCTGAGGATGAAGGTGCCGCAAAAGCTCAGCTCTGTAGGAGAAGCCTGACTGCTGGCTCTGCAGGTGTGCTCCACCGAGGACTGGCAGCACCTCCATCCATCCATCCATCCATCCATCCATCCATCCATCCATCCATCCATCCATCCATCCATCCATCCATCCATCCATCCATCCATCCATCCATCCATCCATCCATCCATCCATCCATCCATCCATCCATCCATCCATCCATCCATCCATCCATCCATCCATCCATCCATCCATCCATCCACCCACCCATCCATCCACCCATCTCTCCATCCCGCCACCCACCCATCCACCTACCCATCTCTCCATCCCTCCACCCATCCATCCACCCACCCATCCACCCACCCACCCATCCACCCACCCATCCACCCACCCACCCACCCATCCACCCACCCATCCACCCACCCATCCACCCACCTCTCCACCCATCCATCCACCCACCCATCCATCCATCTCTCCATCCCTCCACCCATCCATCCATCTCTCCATCCTTCCACCCATCCCTCCACCCACCCATCCACCCATCTCTCCATCCCTCCACCCACCCATCCACCCACCCACCCACCCACCCACCCCACGGGACGCCCGGCAGCCTCAGCTCAGCTAGGAAGAACCAAAGCCATCCAGCATACTCGGGCCAAAGAGCAATCCCACCAGAGCACAGTCCCCGCTCAACAACCGGCGCGCTGCACTGCCAAAAGCGGGGAGGCAAAGGGACCATCGGGTCGGGCGCTCCCGTCTCCTGGCAGGGAGCCCCGCACGCCTGAGCTGTGCCAACCCACGGGGAGGGCCCCGACGTAAAACCACCGCGTGTGCACTGAAACACACCACGCTACATCTAAAGCCAAATTTATACCCGAATAACAATAAATAAAGGCAAGAACTTATTACAGCTCGGCTAATTTCAGAACCCCCCAGGCTGATGCCCGCGCCAGGATTTGCGTTGCAGAGCACCTCTTCACCTTTCAAAGATAAATAGTCCAGTGCAGTTGGTGCTTTGCACTGTGAAAGCTCTTGCACGGCTGTTTCACAGCTCATTCCCTGAAGTGAAGAGTGTTTTTAATAACTGTCACCTGACAGGAGTAAGAGCAAAGAGCAAAACCTGTGGCAATACCAGTTGATCCCATTTGGCCTAACAGCTTGTTGTTATTTCCAGACTCTGGAGTTCTTTAAAATTCATAGGGACAGCCTGCAGTTTTAATAGAGGCTACCAAAATCCATCCTAAGATGTATCAAAAAAAAGCACACTTCCTGGAGGGGAATAGGAAACAGTCAGCATTTACAAAGATCTCTCCAGGAATTTTTTTTTTTTTTTTTTTTTTTTTTTAAGATCTTGCTTTGAAGTAGATGCTACCAAAGAATAAGGCTTCCAGAGCTCAGCAATATTTAATGTACTTCTACAGCAATGGATGACAATGTTGTTGTTTCAGCTATATTATAACAAAAATATTGTGGTTTTCCTGTATTCTAACAAAAGTAACTCAAGATTTACATCTCATTCATCTTATTCAGAAGTAGCCTTTAAGCCAAAAACAAGGAAGGGAGAGACCCTACTGCGTACAAAGGACTTCAGTAATCCTCATAGGGTGGCTATCCAGTTGGGACATAAAGAAAGGCCAAAGAAAGATAAAACACTACTTGCAAAAAGCACTTTTTTCTACAACCGTCAGCGAGAGTGGAAAACATATATATAGAAGATGAGTAAGGTGAGCTAAAACTAAGAAGGGTGTCCTCGCTAACCCTACGAAAGTGTTGCTTCATACTGTAAAGTCCTGCTGGTTAAAATACCCACATCTGATTTGGAAGTATTCTCTCAAACACGCAGGAGTAGAACCAATTCTCCACACCCCTCCACCTCTCCACCTGGTGAAACACCATCTCGATGACCCCACGTGCACTAAAGCACGATGTCCACTTACAACTGATTAAAACAATCAATCAGTAAACAAGGAGACGGATGCAATTCCAACACGGAGCAGGGGAGGCATCCTCGGTGATAATAATACACAGACACAAATGGACTTTAACTATTCTTGTGCCTTATATCAGAATCACCAAATTTGTATTTGTGCCTGGCTAGTGATAACTTGGGACCACGAATCCCCTTTTCATCCACATAATGACACAGCATCCTTCTCCACCCACCCATCCAACAGCACGAGCACCACCTGGCTCAAGGAGAAGACATGACCGAATAGGCTGTTTTAAGACATTATGCCATAGCAGTACTTCCCAGAAAATCAGAAGTACACTAGCAGTTTTTCTAATATGTCCACAGAGAGGAATGTTTTCTACCAGGATTTCTAGCTTCCCCTTTAGACTCCGGCTGTGGGCTGGAATACTTAATGCTGAAAAAACCCCAAACCTGTACAAAGCACAAATCAATTTTCCAGACCTCCAAGGGAGTAGTATCTGCACCTCACACCAGTGGCAAAGCAGATGACACGAGTAAAAGGTTTCTGATGTTCATACAAGTCCTCAGTGGAAAGGGAACTGGAATTTGGGAGGAACAAGCTCCCTCCCAGAGGATGTCCTTCAGACTGCACTTCCTTTGGTTGCATGCGGCTTATTTAACTATTCATCTTTAACGTCACCCTCCAAAATGATGCTGTTGGTACGTACACAACCCTCCACCAAGTCTCCTTCAATCTCAACTTACAGAATTGGCTCCAGTTTTCCTTTCTTTAAGGTCATATGGACAGAAAGAAATTCAGTGAAAGGCAGAGAATAGAGACAATTGAAACTTACATTTGACAGACAAAAATTGAGAAAGCAAGTTAGAGTAATGTAAAATCTACATACCCACCAATGCATCAATACATTACTACTGCAGATTTTTCTCATTTTTATTCACTTACCAAACGAATACCTGCAAAACAAAATGAAGAAAAAGCAAAAAAATTAAAATCTCAGTTGATCAGTTGTAGGAACCTCTCATATTAGTTTCATTTCAAACTTCACACATTTAGAATTTCAAAACACATCTGTCAAGGAGTATGGAAACAAGCCTGAACCACGTAACATGCAACTCACAAGACACTAAATGGTAAATCGCTGCTACCTGGAAAAGCAAAAAGAGCAAACTCCTTCATTTCTGGGCAAATTAAGCTGTTATTTGGCACTCCAAGCAATTGTCCCCTCTTCTTTCAATGAAGATGCTAAACCAGCATACCCAGAAGAGACAGCACAGTCCCAAATCACAACAGACACTGGGCTTCACAAAGGGCTGCTCCTCACATTCCCTCTGCCTTGAGGAACTCCTCTGAGCGAGCGATCTAGTTGACAGTGCAGCTTAACCAGGTTCCACTGCAAAATTATTCACTTATGGTTTCCAAAGCGTGCTAAGCACTTCCCAGGCAGAAGGCAATGACTGAAGGCATTAAAAAACACAAAGCTTAGCGCATACTTCTGCACTGATGAAGCCCACGCTGCTGAAAAGCAAGAAGTTACTTCTGGCTGATGAACTATTTGTTAGGTTTTTTTCCTCGTTGGGCCCGAGGGAAGCCCAGCACCGTGCCACCTGCCCACTGGGGGCTGTGCACGAGGAGCTCACCAATCCTCAGGAAAAGCGACACACACTTACTGTGTCATCTTCGTGGGAATGAATTTTCGCCACAGTCTGGTGCATCATTTAACTTGCTTTTTTTAACTGGTCTTCTCCTTGAAATTACCTTTAGCCTTAGCTACAACATGGTGACCTTCTGTAAGATTACAAGTTGCAATTAAAAGTAAAACCCAAATGTTAAAAAGTTTTAAGATGCTGTTCTTCAACACACAGCTTGTGTTTACTCCCATTATGGCTTCAATTCTACATCAGGGCTTTATGGTTTGTCTCTGCAGAATACTGCGTTACAATAACACCAAAAAACCCCAAACCCAGAACCTCAAAACCAAAAAATACCCCAGGCTTTTGAAGATTTTCAGAAAGATCTGCTCTTACTGAACATGTCCTGAATTAAGCGTGCAAATTTTATACTTATACACATGTAGTTTGAATAGTTCTATAATCCCTCAATCTAAATATTTCACTACGTATTTAACAACAATTTCATACAGGTCTACTGACGTAGAAAGAGCAGTAAGTTTAAAATGCGCAACAAGTTTTAACTTTCTTAATAAAAGTAGCTCTTTATAAAGATATCTGTCATTAAGGGCAACCTAACTTTGCTATTCTCCACCACAGTTGTGGTGCAGTTAAACATAAACTTGTACGAATTATTCTTATTTCTTGGCAGAAGTTAAGAACCCCCTGAGGCTCATTTAAAACACACACACAGAGACACACACAAAATGAGGAATTAATAAAATATTGTATTCTTCTGAACCACATTAAGTTTTCTGACGTGTGTCTGTTGCTGATTACATCAATCTAGGCTCCATTACTTGTCATGTGATGACAGGCAAACACTTGTGAATTTATTTCTCTGAAGAAGCCTGCGATACAAATGCCAAGGAAACCAAACCAAATGGCCCACTCCAAATACATAAAAGCAGCAGGACTTCTTGCAGGGATTTTTATTTTTTTTATAGGTACAAACAGGCAGGTACCCAATTCCCGCAGACTTCAGGTTGTAGTTTGGAACCTAATTGCCATTTTTCCTTTTCAAGGTCCTCTTCCTTGCTTATATGGAGTAAACAGAAGTGTTTATTAAAAGTTCTTCCTACTGCCTGCCTTAGCATTTGCAACATTACCAACAGATAATGACAAGTAAAAACATGGATTTGATTTTGCGGGTTAGGGGTTTTTTGGCAAATTTCAACAGAGTAACTTTTGATCTGCACATTGTCAAAACCAGAAATTTTGCAAATTCAAAGTATATTCCATTCAGATTTTCTAAATCAAATTAAAACGTGATGTCATTTCTGTTTTCTGGTTGGAGAAACAATGTAATTATCCATGACTTGTCATTAGAGGCAAACTTCATGTCACACTTAGAAAGACTGCAAGTATCAGCTGGGAATCATAAACATCATCAAATATTTGAGTTAAATTGTTTTCACCACATTGTCACGCTGATTAATTCTGCTCACATCTATTCCTGGAAAACAAAAACTGATAGCAAAACACAGTTTAAACTACATTAAACTACATCACTCCTGATGAAAATACTCTCCGCCGTCAGTGCCCGTGGTGGAGGCAGCACGGAGCAGAGCTGGGTTTGAAGACACGGCTCTGCAAGAGCTTCCCATGTCTCCAAACCACGCACAGGCACCACTGTGCAAGCGAACGGGGAGCTCCCAAACCAACCCAGCTGAAAACATCACCTTTTCTGTGTAACTTTTTTTTTTTTTTTTTTTTTTTTTGCATGCAAAGCACGCGGGATGATGGCTTCTATTTGCTCAAGAAAGAGGAAAAGCAGATCGGCCAGACTTGCCCAACAAATTTACGTTCCTTCTCCGCTCATCTACCCCATAGCTACACAGATTATTTAATGCAAGGGTTGTCTCCAGGACTCCTCTTACAAGTCTGTAAAACATGACAAAACTCTAAATAGAGTCTATTAAGAAAGAGTATTAGAACATAGACAGGAACTCTCATCTTTACATCTATTGATGCTTACTAGGAAAACACGTCTGTATTTATAACCCAAAAAAAGAAAAAAAAAACAGTCCTACCCACCATTCACATCCCAGCAGTGCCCAACACCACAAGATCCTTCCAACTAAACCGATTTCCACAGGCGGGATAATTCCCTGCTGCATCCCTAATCTGCAGCTGGTGTTAACAGCCTCTCTCCCTGTTCTCCATGGAGAACATCCTCTACGGAAAGTGAACCCAGATGTCAACTTTCATCTCCATTATGAATCTCTCTCATTCTCTGAGCTGTATAAATTGGGATGGGGGGAAAGGTGTTTGGGTAGTACAGACACATTTTTCTATTCTCCATCAGGATATAGAGCTAAAATCTGCTGTAATGAGATTTCCACAGCAGCACCCCGCCGCAATGGAAACCAAGTAGAAGCTGCACCGTGAAGTATCCCTTCCCTGGGAAGGAGGGAAATGTGAATTATTAACTACCCTGGTCTTCCCTGGGGTACCCAGCCAGGGAGAGGAGGAAGCCCGGGACCATCTCCCCAGGAGACAGCAGCAGCCTCAGACTGCAGCGAGCGACCAAATGGACACGCAACTGGCAGAGCGAAGAGCTTCCTTCCAAAATACCAGTGAACAGGGAAAGCTGGATGAGCTGCCTGCCATAAATGCAGGCATAGCTTTAAGGGAGAAAAAAAAAATGGCTAAGCGATGGACGTATAGAAAATGTGGAAAATCCACCTGCCCCAAGACAGGAGCGACTGTGAGAACCGCCTCTGACAGACACTGTCTAAGCAGTGATGGAGAATCCACCTCCCTCTCCAGGTATTCAGTCCAGTGTTCCTCCAGATGTACTTTTAGAAGATTTATGTCTAACCTGTATCTTCCTTTCCACCATGGACACCAACAGCTTCTTGTTCTATCCACGTGGAGGCAGCGAACGCAGAGAACAGCTAATTTCCCTCCTCTCTGCTGCTGTCACGCCCTTGATCTTTGTCTCCTTTCCCGGTTTCCCTTTCTCTCAACTAATCAAACTCAGCTCCTTCAGCTTTTCAGCACAACAGGACACTTTCTGCCCCGCCGGCAAGGCTTGTGCCTCATCTCTGCCCGGCGTGGGGCCGCAGCCACTTCCAGCACAATGTGACAACCAGACAGGAGATGCTGGCTGACACCTCCCCAGCTCCGAGAAGTGGGAAACCTCATCCACTGCTGTCTTGCACATGACGCTCCTAAAGTTACTGGCTTACGTGCCTGAAAACTTGCTTGGTGAACCACAATATAGCAATGAAATTAAAGCTGTAAACACTTCAGGACAAAAACCCTCATCTTTTCGATGTATGTGTGTGCATATATATATATATAAGATATATATGGACAGCACCTGGCACCTGGGGATCCCCTTCCTCAGCGCAGTGCCTCAAAACAAAGCAGCCCGTTGGTAAACATCACTTGCAAGAGACCAAGAGTCCCTCAAAATGAGATGACAGAATTAGCCTAGTGCACCATTAATTTCAGAACATCATTAACTTAAAAGTGTGGGGGTAAGGAACATTTTTGACAGCTGGTTTCAGTTGCTGCCAAGCCTTTAGTATTGCACAGCGGTCGTGGGGGGAGGAAATAAGCTAGAATGGTAGTAAATAAAACCACTCGTCTGGTTTCTGGATTCACTTTATTGTGGTCACCGATCTCTAAAAACTGGGATTCTGCGCTCTGTAATTACAACATCCACATTTAAATGGAAGGAACTGGGATAACATTTGAAAAAAAAATAAAAAAAAAAAAAAAAAAAAAAAAAAAAGAGTGCTTGAGGATGAGGTTTACTCCTCGGTTTGCACATGGTGCTGGGAAAGGTGCTGGAGCAGCACTGGGGGAGCCAGGCTGGGCGCTGACACCCCGGGCCCAGCCCGCGCGGCCGCGACGTGGTCTGCCCGCGGCCGAGCCAGCCAAGCACCGCTTCATCTCCCCCTCGCAAGGCAGGGCACCAGGCTTGGTTAAGAAACCAAATGTGAATTTCCCAACTAAGCCCCGGCCCTCGCTAACTGTTGTGTCTGTACTCATTTCCAAAGCTAAAAATTATTACAAGCCCTGGCTTACGCGACTGTAGAATTTGCCAAACTCCAGTGGAATTCGCTTTGGTTAAATCCTTCCAGTGCCAACACCAGATGCTGAAATGGCAGCCTCGGGAACCCCTCTCTGAGCTGCTCCTAAGCCAGAGGGCAAGTCTAAGGCAGGAAAGGCGAGAACAGGAGCCAGCAGCAGGAAGGCAACTGCAGCTCCTCCACCACGCTTCGCCCCAAACCTGCCGAAACCACTGCACCTCCCTAGGCAGAAACAAACTC